ATTACCACTTATTTCGATCCCTGGACAACTCCCTTCGTGGTAAAACTTTTAACGATGATGACGCTGTAAAATCTCACTTAACTCAGTTTTTGGCCGAAAAGGATCAGACTTTCTACGAGCGTGGAATTTTCAAGTTGTCAGAGAGATGGCAAAAGGTCATCGAACAAAATGGAAAATACATTACAGATTGAACTTCGTTCCAAGTAAAAAAAAATTTTTATTTCATTGAACAAATCGGCAATTACTTAGTTGCCAACCCAATAGAAATCGGTCAAATCTTTGCACTATCGTTCTAAACTCGGTGTTCGCAAATTGTCCACTTTCGCGCGCACAATCTTAACATCGATTAGGGAGAATTACTGTATCTGTAGGATCGTTTATTCAGTCACATTTGAAATAAAAAAAAAATAGAGAAATAATTCATTATTATTTATAGCTGTCTCTAATTTCCTGATAGAACGAAAATAGGAAGTAACGAATAATAATTATAATTACCACAACGAACAATTTAACAATATAAATTCTGATTAGAAATCCACGTATGGACACGACGAGTATTAAACAACGAATGACAAGAACAAAAGATAGAAAATATTTAGTAGAAGAAAGTTTGAAGGCGCCGCATTCAACCGGATTTCCGATTAGCGTGGCTTGGTAAGAAAAAAAATGTAACGGGTGCCAATCGTAAATTCTCTTTCCTTTCTTTTCTTGAAATTATTTGAATTTCAAACAGAAATTCATCATTTTCGTTGATAAACGGAGACCCCGGCAGTCTGCGGCTACGATCTATCTGAAATCCTCGGACGTTTTCGGACGCCGGCCGCTGATAGGCCGACGTCCTCGACTGCGGTTTACTAGAGGGATAATATTTTATCGCGATATAAACTCGCCCATGGATCGCGTTACAATCCGCATTATTCAAAAGCGCGTACCTTCATGGCTCTCGCGGCGCATTAATCATTTTGAAACAATAAGACCGTCCCCGTCCGCGGGTCCGCTGATACGCCGCGAAGGAAGCACTATATCCTCCGGACCGGTTACGTTTTAATCTTCGTGATTTATCGTTGCCGACCGAATGCAACGCCAAATGCAACGCGGGAATGCAAACGAGCCGGGCGCGTTTTTGCACGCGGCCTCCTCCTCTTTTCTTTTTCCTTTTTTTGTTTTCGTCAGCTTCGTTCCCTTTACTTCGCGCGTTCTCCTTTCCCGGGAACGAGAAGCTCGTGTGTATCGATACACGTCCTTGATCCCAGCGCGGATCCGCGCCGGAACAAAGAGGAATTCAGGCTGAATCGCGTGGCACACTGATAGCGGTAACCGGAAGCTGGCCGATCCTTATCGATCCCGCGAAGTGAAACCGGCTTTCGTTCGATCGCCGTGTATCGGCGCGTCGCTGATACATCTGGTTCAACGACACCGACGTTACCAAAACATTAGCCACACAAATGAATTCACAACCTTCGCCACTAATCGGCTGCTTTCGAATTCGTTCGCATCATTATCGGCGGCCCCGAGCCGGACTTTGAAAGCTGCAATTCCCGGAATGCTGAAAACTTATTCGACCCGAATCGCGAGCTCGGGACGCCGGGTTTAGCGCGGGCTCGAAAGTCCTCTCGATTCGAAATTCAGGTTGAATATCAACGGCGCCTCGTTCAATTTACTTTAGAATGCTCGATGATTGATATACACGGTGGCCGAAATAACGAGAGATCTCATTTTTTCTTTCGGTGATGCAACAGCCTGTTTTACGTAACATTTCCCTGTTTGTTTGTTTTTTCTTTTTGTCGATCCGTTACGATGCACTTGCGCGAAACACACGATTACGTAAATAATAGAATTTGCATTCTTATCGTTATTATGATATCGATGTTACGCGAATTTGGAAATAATTGCGGGTTCGCTAAATTGTAGTCGTGTTTGAAACTGTCTCGCAGGTTTTCGGTACGGTATTTTAGCAACATTTTATTTAATTTGCTGATAATTATTGAATGTTTTGTACTACCGTTGTTGTACATATATTAAGTAAATATTGAACCACGTGTCTGTGTGTACGCGTTTCAATCGTTTCCTACGAATTATCGCGTTTCGTAAGCGAAAATCGGCTGGATTAGGTGCGCGACTTTAAGTGACAGTCACTGCAGCGAGATATTTTTAATACGACTTTTAATACCGCAATTATGTAATATTCGAGTTACTTGGAATAAACTAGCAGGCTTATCTTCGTTAGCATGCCAATGTTTGCGTCGAAGTCCGCACAATCGCGAAGCTTAAGAACAATAACTATTACGCCTAATAACAATTCAATAGACTCATCAGCTCTCTCGTGAATTCCTAACGGTAGTTGAATCATAAAAATTTCCGCACACTCTCGAAAGCTTTGTCGGGCCGGATGAGCGAAATGTAAGCCGTCGTAATCTGTCGAAATTATAATAGAGAGAGAGAGAGAGAGAGAATTATTATAGAGAGAGAGAGAGAGAATTACTATATATATATATAGTAATTCTCTCTCTCTCTCTCTCTCTCTCTCTCTATAATAACTCTCTCTCTATATATATAATAATAATATATATAAAATAAGAGAGAGAGAGAGAGAATTATTATAGAGAGAGAGAGAGAGAGAGAGAATTATTATAGAGAGAGAGAAAGAGAGAGAGAGAGAGAGAGAAAAAATTACTATATATATATAAATTATAATAGAGAGAGAGAGAGAATTATTATATAGAGAGAGAGAGTTATTATAGAGAGAGAGAGAGAGAGAGAGAGAATTATTAGAGAAAGAGAGAGAGGGAGAGAGAGAATTATAGTTATTGCATAAATTATTTGCAGTCGGTTATAGTAAACTCTATGCAATCATAAAATCTAAAAACGATACCTAATAATGTGAACGCTAATAATATGAACGCCAATAATGCGTGTTACGTCCAGGTCACATAAACGCGCGACGACCATTGTAAATTGCATTGCAAATAGTGCAA